TGATTATACAAATTTTTTTTTCAAAACATAGGTACAAATGCCCTACATTTTTAAAAACCGGGTACTAAACAAAAAATTTTCCTCATAACATGGGGCTAGTAGGTATTAAGCCAAACCAAATATATTAGAAATAAAGAAATGTGCATTAAGTTGAGGTTTTATATCAAAACTCAACCCCTACCCACTTCCTAAACACTGCAGTTGCCTTTATATTACAATGAAAAAAAGTATTTAGGCTTTTACATATTTTTTATCAAAATATGATCAAAGTTTCTAATATTTTTTTTTATATGTTGCTAAGTTTCAATATAATTTTTTTAAATTTTATAATATGTTCAATTTATGAACAAAAATAAATATAAGAACTTTTGATTGATTTTGTCTAAAAAAACGTCGATGAAATATTAACCGAATCTGGTCCATCCACCAAGTCAAAGATTGGAACCGCAAATTTGGATCCAGCGGCTTAAGCTATTGTTTGGTTCCAACAGTCTAGCAGCATTTGGTACCTATGTTTTGAAATTTGTATCAATTCAATCCTATCCAGTTAACGGCGTTATAATTGATGCGAGAAATTAAGGACGTTAATGATAGCCTGGGTGGAATAGCTATCAAATGTTTGAATGCATCTTCATTAACGTCCTTAATTTCTCGCATCAATTATAACGTCGTTAACTGGATAGGATTGAATTGATACAAATTTCAAAACATAGGTACCAAATGCCTACATTTTTAAAACCGGGTACTAAACAAAAAATTACCTCATAACATGGGGACTAAGTAGGTAATTAAGCCAAACAAATATAATTAGAATAAAGAATGTGGCATTAGTTGAGGTTTGATATCAGAACTCAACCTACCCACTCCTAACACTGCAGTTGCCTTACAATGAAAAAAAAGTATTTAGGCTTTACATATTTTTATCAAATATGATCAAAGTTTCTATATTTTTTTTATAGTGATAAGTTCATATAATTTTAAATTTTATAGGTCAAATTTATGAACAAAATAATATAAGAACTTTGATTGTTTCTAAAAACGTCGTATGAAATATTAACCGATCGGTCCATCCACTCAAGTCAAAGATTGGACCGCAATTGGACCAGCGCTTAAGCTATTGTTGGGTCAACAGTCTAGCAGATGATAAAATAATCAATCAGGTACGTTCCACGCGCGGTTTAGGCTAAAGGAAGGCGAGCTATTTCAGAGTCTGAAAGTGGGAAACGCATGTCAGCATATTAGTCTTTCGGTCCCAGAAAAATATATCAAAACACTATGTATATTCAAGCATACCCAATGCATAAACCATTACAAAAAACAGAAGGGAAAAGGTAAGTTTTATTTCAACTTAGAAGATGGTGAATGCAAACACGTTAATAGAATACACAAGTCCTAGATCAATTGGTGACATTTTCAGAGGAATCTTTGTTTGCATTGATTCTAGTTTTACATTTTGTTGCATTTTCAAAGTATGCGTTTCTTCTCTCATGTGTTTATGCTTAAAGGAAAACGTAGCTTTTCAAGTAACACATAACATTTGTTAAAGAATTGTATCACTTTCTTACCGAACCATTTTAGTACATTTCTTATGCCATCACAATCAACACCTTTTATTTAAACAAAACTCTCAATTATCAAAGTCTTTTATAATCTGCGTCACTCAATTACCCTCTTAGACATATTCTTTTCTTCAAAATGTTGCATTGTGATTGACGTCACATAGTTTGGTTAGGTACGTATCTTGCACTTCAATCAGCCTTGTAGACACTGTTTGTTACCCATTTGACAAATCATAGCCATTGTCACTCGTTGGTAAGATAGGCTTGAGGCTTCTATTGTTTGGTCACTTTTCTATTATTGAGTCTTTGACCAACCTTTCCCTTTGCACTTTTATTTATGAGTAGGAGCAAAAGTGGCAGTGCCAGGCAAATACATCAATGGCGGAGTTGATGGGATCACGGGCATACTGCTGCTTTAGGTGCCAGAACCTTGTTGCTTTCCATGATGATATTGTTTCCAAAGATTTCCAGGTGAACTTTCTGTTGCATTTTTGGCATTTTCTCCAATTTTATGCTGGATTTCTAGATTGAAATGGATGATAGGATCTGTTGGTTCTAAATTTCAACTAATCAGCAGTTGAAACTGGTAATTACTAACCAGACGATTCCCTTGACATGTTAAAAGAATCATAAAATAAAACTTCTAAGAAAAAAAAACTTCTAACCTAGTTGTTTGCTAAAGATTAATATTCATATGCCCATATTAATCATGTCAAAAACCTTGCAAACACGGCCTGAAATTAGCCTTATCTCTAGTGAAGCGATTCACTTGAGTTTTTAGCATTTTCAGTTTCCTTCAAACTGGTGAGAGTTTTTGTTATGTTCTTTGAATAACCTAGGATTTTCAAGAGTTATCTGTAACAGGCAACAAATGGTAGAGCATTTTTATTCTCTCACGCAATGAACATTGTTTTGGGTCCTAAAGAAGATAGACAGCTTATCACTGGTCTTCACACAGTGGCTGATGTGTATTGCTCTGATTGTGGAGAGGAACTTGGCTGGAAATATGTTAAAGCTTACGAGGAAACACAGAAGTACAAAGAAGGAAAATGTGTGCTAGAGAAGTTCAAGATAGTCAAGGGCAATGGATAGTAAACAGATTTTTCTGTTTTAGATCCAAGCCATCTGATCTCAATTGTTCATATATTGGTTGTGAAGTTCTTGCAAAGACCAGGGGGGAAAAGAATTTAATTTGTTCAATTTCAAAAGGTGTATTTAGTCACTCTAATTTTTTTCTTGATGAAATAATTTGTTAAATGATTTCTCCCCTGGTATGAACAGTTGGTTGGTCCTTTCTCTTGTAGAAAAGATTCTTTTCAAGAAAATTACGAAGATCATTCATTGGTCCTGGTACATAAATCTTCGCAACTAGCACAAGCCTCTTGTTTTTGCATTTTATCAGCCAAAATGACTGTATAGGCATTTATAAATATTATGATTTTACAGAAAAGTTCATGAATCAATTCTTAATAAATATTATAAGCTTATTTAGTAAAAGGTTTTACTTGAAATACTATTGAACAAATACTTGATTAATCTGTTTACCTGAATATCATCATGTCGTTTGACTGCCTCTAGTTTCGCATGAAGTAGAAACTTTTTCAGTGCAAGCACATAAAAGTCTCAACTGTTAGGAAAGTTGAGACATTGTAGCTCTCAATTAAGCAGATAGGGCCCCACATATATATACTGGTTGTGCCCCCATATTGAAACAGGATATACTGTCTGAAATATGTGCTATTTGTAATCCTTTCTGTCATAAATAGATTGATTTTTATCCTTTCAAGGAGTAAAGTAAAGTGTATAAGCATGGCACTTCTTTTGCTGTTTCAGATTCTAATAATCTGTATCTAAGTGGTCGGAGTATTTCAAATGATATATAATCCTTAAGAACTTTAGCAGTTTTTTCTCTAATGGTGTAATCCTCAAGAACTTGAAGAGGACCATATAATTGTTTATGTAAAAACTGTCACTTCAATTACTCCAATAGTAAAGCTACATACAAACTAAAAGAATTTCATAAACTAGTCGAAGATGGTCCCAATGTGGTTAAGAAAAATGGTTTTTATTTGCACTGACAAATTGCTGTCCACTGAAGCTTTTGCATGACAAGTCATAGTTGAATAAGACGGAAGTGTTGACTGTCAGAGTCAGTTCTTTCAACAATTTACTTCAGACTGATGTTCAGTTGTGGGGTATTCTGTGTGTAGAACTCTTTCAGTATTTATTTATCTGAACCAAACACACGAAACTAATTCCAATGCAACGTTATTTTAGTACCATCAGTTGTTAAAACAGTTCCCATAATTGTAAAGTGTTAATCAGAATAGTCCTGCTACTCAGTTAATAAAGAGTTGTGGAGGTGAAGTGAAAGGTTAATAATATGTTTAGAAACACATTGAAAAAAAGAATTGCGTAAAATTATAACTATTGATTTTCAATAATCATGTTCAAAATGTAAAAATGTAAGTAAAACAAATCAAGATATGGGTGTAATAGAGTCTTCTTTGTGTTAAAAGCTTCCATTNATATTAGTCTTTCGGTCCCAGAAAAATATATCAAAACACTATGTATATTCAAGCATACCCAATGCATAAACCATTACAAAAAACAGAAGGGAAAAGGTAAGTTTTATTTCAACTTAGAAGATGGTGAATTCAAACACGTTAATATAATACACAAGTCCTAGATCAATTGGTGACATTTTCAGATGAATCTTTGTTTGCATTGATTCTAGTTTTACATTTTGTTGCATTTTCAAAGTATGCGTTTCTTCTCTCATGTGTTTATGCTTAAAGGAAAACGTAGCTTTTCAAGTAACACATAACATTTGTTAAAGAATTGTATCACTTTCTTACCGAACCATTTTAGTACATTTCTTATGCCATCACAATCAACACCTTTTATTTAAACAAAACTCTCAATTATCAAAGTCTTTTATAATCTGCGTCACTCAATTACCCTCTTAGACATATTCTTTTCTTCAAAATGTTGCATTGTGATTGACGTCACATAGTTTGGTTAGGTACGTATCTTGCACTTCAATCAGCCTTGTAGACACTGTTTGTTACCCATTTGACAAATCATAGCCATTGTCACTCGTTGGTAAGATAGGCTTGAGGCTTCTATTGTTTGGTCACTTTTCTATTATTGAGTCTTTGACCAACCTTTCCCTTTGCACTTTTATTTATGAGTAGGAGCAAAAGTGGCAGTGCCAGGCAAATACATCAATGGCGGAGTTGATGGGATCACGGGCATACTGCTGCTTTAGGTGCCAGAACCTTGTTGCTTTCCATGATGATATTGTTTCCAAAGATTTCCAGGTGAACTTTCTGTTGCATTTTTGGCATTTTCTCCAATTTTATGCTGGATTTCTAGATTGAAATGGATGATAGGATCTGTTGGTTCTAAATTTCAACTAATCAGCAGTTGAAACTGGTAATTACTAACCAGACGATTCCTTTGATATGTTAAAAGAATCATAAAATAAAACTTTTAAGAAAAAAAAACTTCTAACCTAGTTGTTTGCTAAAGATTAATATTCATATGCCCATATTAATCATGTCAAAAACCTTGCAAACACGGCCTGAAATTAGCCTTATCTTTAGTGAAGCGATTCACTTGAGTTTTTAGCATTTTCAGTTTCCTTCAAACTGGTGAGAGTTTTTGTTATGTTCTTTGAATAACCTAGGATTTTCAAGAGTTATCTGTAACAGGCAACAAATGGTAGAGCATTTTTATTCTCTCACGCAATGAACATTGTTTTGGGTCCTAAAGAAGATAGACAGCTTATCACTGGTCTTCACACAGTGGCTGATGTGTATTGCTCTGATTGTGGAGAGGAACTTGGCTGGAAATATGTTAAAGCTTACGAGGAAACACAGAAGTACAAAGAAGGAAAATGTGTGCTAGAGAAGTTCAAGATAGTCAAGGGCAATGGATAGTAAACAGATTTTACTGTTTTAGATCCAAGCCATCTGATCTCAATTGTTCATATATTGGTTGTGAAGTTCTTGCAAAGACCAGGGGGGAAAAGAA